TTTTAGACAAATATAATGCAATATATGATTTCAGATTTGGTAATTATGATTCGACAATGTTTTAGGTAGTCATCATTTAGATTTAAAATTCAAATCAAATTATAAAAAGTATAATAACAATTTATAATGTCATCGTAACCTATGAGAATATTTTATAAAATGCACCCAAACTTAATATCTAAAAATATAATTAAAAATAAGATCAGAATTGAGTTTGAGATTTCTGATGTGTATAGGTTGGTTCTTTAATAGTTTATAATATATGAATAATTATATAAATATAACCGAAATCCGTTTTTGGTATCTACGTGAAACTCTTAAAATCCAATGAGACGAGAGACGAAGTTTGTTTATCCTTAACCAATTTGATATAAAATAAAAAAATCATATTTATTCGTGTTTATACTTTTGTGTACGATGAGTATACTTGTTGTTAATTCAGTGCGTTCAAACGCGTTAAAAAAAAGTATCAATATTATTTTTAAACGTCAAAYTGTTGTTATTGTGTATGAAATATAAGTTGTCGTTACTTAACATTGTTGTCATAAAAGTTTATTCAGGTATAAAATTTATAAAAAAAAAAACTTTTAAACCCAAAAGTATTGTACAATAGCTACAACTAAAAATGTGTTACTTAACCCAATACACACACACACACACACACACACACACACACACGCATACACACCCCATCGTCATTCGTTCGGCGATGGTCGGGCCAAGCGACGACGAGGGAGTCCGTAAGCGCCGCTCGCGAACACGTTGGGCTCGCGTATAGACTTTACCGTTGTCKCTGTCGATTATAGTCCGCCGATGCGAACGGAACTCTGACGAAAACCTCGGGATGATACATCGGATCGTTTCGCGAGATTCAAAATAGCCGTGATTATTGGTTATCGTTTTTAACATTTGATCAAATTGTTTCATTATTGTTTTATTATTATTATTATTATTGTTGTTGTTTCTCGGCGGATTTGGTGTCCGAAGTTGGAGCACCAAACGGATACTATTACTGTGGCCTTTTTGAGGTATGTGTATGCGCACCAGACGCCTGAGATACTGGAATTTTTCTTTTTTAATCATAGTCAATTATTATTATTAAATTTTATTCTTTTCTGTCGTGTAAGACAATATYGAACAGAAAAAATCGATTTTCGTTTGTTTTATCCGTCTGTATTATAATGATACATACAATAGTCATAAACAAAGAGTTAAAAATATCTTAAGCACTCAATATGTACACATTTTATATGTTTACCGTTCTAAAATCAACTGTATTGTACATACAGGGGTGAATGGACTTGAATCGTTTTTTTCGAGAGTTTAAAATTATCAAACTTACCGTAAATGTCAGATGAT